GGAACATTGGTACCAACTTTAACATGTGAAAGCAAACATGCATCTAATATTTGACTTGTAGCATTGAAATGATTAATTTGAATTTTATTTGTTTCTTCTAAACAAAATATTGAAAAGTTATTATTACTGATTTTATGTTGGTTTTCTTAAGAAACTAGTACATTTTACAAATGTTTCCAATTCTGTCAGTACTATTTTCTGCTCACTAGATGTCGCTGTGACTATGGGGAAATATGCCAGTCGCTCTTCTCTTCTTGCTGAAGGTATGACTGACTTGAACTAGTAACCAAAGTATGATATGAGGAAGAATGAAGAGATCAGTTGATTATTTCATATATAACTGAATTCACAGAAAATTTGTTTAACTATTTTGAATTGTGAAAATCATTGCAATGGTTTATTTAACAAAAAAATGCAAAAGTGTCACTGGTTGCAGTCTCACAAACATGATTTAGTTTTTTTCCTTTTTAGTTTTTAGGCAAATAACAAAACAACTGAAAACTATGTTAGTATTTATCACTATTTTCTTCAATTGAAAAGACCAAACAATGAAATGATTAATAGGGAAAATAATGGGCAGATTGATCAATAATGAAATGTTTTCCTGAAAACATGAACAATACATTTTCTGGATGTGCATGTATGTGTATCACTGTACAAGTAAGCATGACCTGCCATGTGTGGTAGGGGTTGTAAGGGTGTATGTGTGCTCAGCGTCGTAGGTTCATTTATTGCTGTTTATTTCCCCATGCCAGTGGTAATCAGCAGCAGGATTAGTGTTAACTGCCACCCAGTCACTGGCAGGCTCCACGTGGGCCACCGCAGGCCCCTTCTGCCGAGTGGCCTGACCGGGCCTGTGCGGGGACCCGCTCGCAGTGACGAGGTACTGGGAGTCTGCTAATCCTGAAGAAAGACCCCCGTCTGGCTTCCTCTCCGGGCCACCTATCACCATATCACAGAACCTGGGCCAGTGGATGAGCTAATGAGCACTGAGAGGAGAGGAGAGTGTGTTTCTCTGTGTATGTGTGTGAGAGAGACTCAGAGAGAGGGGAGAGAGAGCTGGACCACCCACCCGGAGGATTCAGAGGCACAGGATTCACAGCCCATTCTGTTGACCTGCCACACCGCCCCAGCTCTGGGCAAGGCCCTCCCCAATTGTTCCGCCTGCTAACATGGGGAGGGGGGTTAGACAAGGGGGGAATGGGGGTGGACGAGCAGTAAACAGTGGGCTGAGCTTCTCTCCTTCAGCGCACAAAGGGGCTGAATTGTGTCGGGACTGGAGCACTTTTTAGAGTGGCCCTGCCATGGGGCCTGAATGAAACATCTGTGGAGGCTGAGCCCGAGGGAGAAAATGCTATTTTGCTGTTCAACCACACTGACAACCTGTTTTCTCTTTCTTCAGCCACCCCCCTACCCCCAACCCAACACACACACACACACACACACACACACACACACATCACCCTCTCTGTTATTTCTTCCTTGCCCTTGTAAAACTATTCATACTGTATACTCACATTTGCCAAGCAAGTCAAAGAGGAGCAGCGGTAAACGCAGGAGAAAGTTGAGAGGTGACTTACAAGTTTGTCAGAGTAACACGCAACGTCTTACAATTCAATTTACTTTATTTCACTCTTAATCAATACGTCTTTCCAGTGTGTCCTTGGTTCATTTATTAAAAACAAACAATAAAATGTATTGAAAGTCTGTTGATCATGAAGATTTCAGCTCATATTTGAAAGCCTGTAGATTCTAACATGGTTCATTAATGTTGACATTACGTTAAAAAACTTGAACTGAATTTAAGTGAACTGATGAGCCTTGTGTGCTTTACTAAATGCCATTCTAGTTTTAGCAGAAAAAAATAACTAACCATCATTCCTCTCATTTAAAATGACACTGATGAGATCTCATCTGTGATTCAAGCCACTTTGTTTGGAGGCAAAACTGAGAGACAGTGCACCCCAGATTGTCAAGTATGGGATGGACTGTAGGTCAAAGTTGATCAATGGAGTCAGTGTGTAAACTGAGGTGGACGTTCACAGCGTTTGGGTGATAACTTTGCTGTTTGCCTCCATTTTCTCCTCGGGCTAAGGGTTCATGTTCGTCGGACTGCTAACATTTAGTCTGAAAACACGATGTAAATGATGCCATTATGAGTCGAATACGAATTTTGGGGCTTACAGACACTTGGTTGACACCACAGGAGCAGTATGTTGTTGTTTTTCTACATTTGAAGAATCGGTCACTGCTCAAACACTTCACCCACCCCTCCATCGGCATAGCTGTGAATGAATTTTCATTTTTGTGTGAACTATCCCTTTAATCCCTCAAGCGTGCGGGTGTGCAGGCTGCAGGTAGCTGACTTGACGGACAGAGTGTATACAGTTGCATGTAGAGGCTATCACAAGTGTCAGCCTCCACAGAGAGGAGAGGGAGTACATCCATCCATCAACATCACCTCTGTAGACCCCCCCTCCAGCCTTCCCTGAGTGAACCCCCCACACCCCGAGCCCTCTCTCCCCGCAGCCCTGTGCTTCTCGACCATATGCAGCTCAAAGAGGGAGACCGCTGAGACATTTCAGTTTAATTGAAGGGGAAACAAAGATCCCTGCTTACTTCCTGGTCACCCATTTTCTTTAATCAATTTCTTCCCTTTGGTCCTGTGTCATCTGTAATTACTTTCCCTTTCCCGCCCCATGTGGGTTCCTCCTGGAGCAAAGGTCCTCACACACACAAAAACACATGCACCCACACACACACACACACACTTATTGCTCACCCCCTACCGTAAGCAGGCAATACCTTTGGCATCAGTACTCTTTGGCCCCCTTTGGCTCCCCCAGCCTGAACAATGGAGAAGACCTACTGGCTCCAGAACCCCACCGAGCCACCCCTGACCCTGCCCACCTACTCTACTAAACCCCTGCACACACACACACACACACACACACACACACACACACCTGCAGGTTCATATGCCATGTACTCTTATGCAGATCGGAGACACTGTCACACATGCACCCGGAGCCACCATGAGCCTGCAGTGAATGGGGGAGGGAGACGAGGGAGGGGAGGTGAGGGAGGCGGCCACTTTAAATACCAGCTCAGCTTATAATCGCTGAAGTTTGAACTTAGAAGACTTCTTATGCTCTGAGGTCAAGAAGCCAGAACACTCACTCGCCCTCTTCTTTCTTCCCTGCTGCCCAGTGTCACTCACTTCTCTCAATGGGTCCCTCCGATCCATCGACTGGTTATGTACACTGACGCCAGCAGACACTGTGCCAACGCTCGTATCCAGAGGAAATCCTCCAGCAAAACAACGAGCGTGTTGTCTTACCAGTAAACGTGTACGTAAGTCAGACAAATTCATTACTGCACTCCAGCAACACACAGTGGATCTTTAGCTAAATGAAATTTTCTGGAAGATCTGCACTTTATTTGAGAACAGCTCCCAAGGGACATCATTAAATGTAACCTTCCTGCCAA